TTTTTTTTGGTGGTGTTTTTTTTGTTTTTTTGGTTTTTTTTGTGGTTGGACTCGATGATCTCTGAGGTCCCTTCCAACCACCACGATTCTGTGATTCTGTGAAAGGCACCTTTAGACATGACCTAGTCCAACCCCTCTGCTCAAGGCAGGGCCAGCTAGAGCAGGCTGCTCAGGATCATGTCCAGTTCAGTTTTGAATATCTCCAAGGAGGGAAACTCCACAACCTCTCTGGGCAACCTTTTCCACTGTACAACCCTTATCACAGTAAACATGTCATTTCTTATTTTTAAATCGGGATTCCTGTATTTCAGCTTGTGCTCATTGTCTCTTGTCCTATCAGTGGACACCACTGAGAACAGTTTGTCTCCATCTGCTTTAGTCCTCCCATCAGGTATTTATACACGTGGCTTCACCCCATCAACTCCCACAGACCTGTGTATGTCCAGTTTCTTTGAGTGCTCCCTAACCTGATGCCATTCACTGAGGAAAAGTTTTCACCACTTCAGACCTTCTCTCACAGCAAAAGGGCCTGGGATTACTGGAGCAAGGTCTTAGCCTCAAAGACTGAGGCTGAGAAAGCATTTGGCCTTTTACACTTCTAAATGGTCAGCGATACCAACCTCTCAGCCTTTTCTCCTAGAATATGTCCTAGCGTGGGAAGGGCTGTCTTCTACTGTCCATTTAATTTTCAAATCCCTCCTTGAAACACAGATTCAATTGCCAAGCTCGCAATAGTTGAAAAATGGATAGAAAGTTGTTGTGCTATGATGAAACTAGATGAAACTTCCATGTCCTCTGTCAGCAGGTCCCCTGCCTCACAGAGCAGTGTGCCCACGTGGTGTGAGCTTTGCTTTTGGTATACATGAACTAACATAACTAATGTCAGAGGTACAGCAAGTGCTCCAATGCATTAATATGTGTCAGATAGTGAGCTTCCTTCATTATTTCTTGTTAGGACTTTCCAGGCTGCAAGTTTTCTGGTGAGAGGATGCTTACATTACTTGTGTTTACACTGATTTCTGTACAGAAGGGTCTCTCTGACTGTAGCCTCAATATACTAAACCACAGTTCCACAACCCAATTAAAAATGTGATCACTTAGAGCTAATTTTATCAGTTATGGCACCTCCCCCCATATACATACAGTTCCACAACCTAATTAAAAATGTGATCACTTATCAGTTATGGCACCTCCCCCCATATACAAACATGCCAGGTATACTCTTTGAGACCACTGGTCTGGTACAAAAGAGTTTTTGCCAACCAAACATAAATAATCTCTTTTTAAGGCAGTGATTACTCTGGAAAAGCCAGGCTCAGCCACAAGCCCTGGTTAATATGTTCACATTCTCCTCCACTTTTTATTCCATGCATGACCATTTGACTATTCAAGAAATAAGGAGAGAGGAGGAGGTTAGCAAATATCCTTAAAAATCTATAGCAAGCTGGCAGGACATGACACATCAGGCTGTTCTATTTATCTGCAGTGTATCAGGTATCACCTTGTTTGGTTACAGCAGTAGTTACACCTACTGTTGTCCAGCCTGATTTAAGACAAATTTAGTTTTCAATAGCCACAATTTACGCCTAGTATTTTGGTCAAGCTTGTCCTCTTCCACAGTTAAGACAGTAAATCTCTGTGACAAAGCCACAGTAATCACTGGTTTAGCCCGGCTGTTTTCATTCCTTACTGGTATTCACAGAAGTGAAAGGGTTTTGTCCAAACTGTCAAATTCAAAGGATGTATTCAGTCAGTCTAAATTCCCCATGTTTCATTGTCATCATAGCCCTGAAGGATGAGGATCTGCCAATGCTGTTCAATACTTTAAGAGGAAATTAGACAGGTGAAAATGATCCCGGAGTTTAAAATTGAGACCTAAAGAAATCTCCCTGATACTACCAGAGGTTTTGGAACATGCCTAGCAAGGGTGTAGAAAGAGCTCAGACTTTTACAGATCTACAGGCCTTTCTTTACAGCTTCTTAAAGCCTAACAAAGAGAGAGATGTTACTGGGAAATGGAAATCAAAACCTACATCTGGAAGCTTCAAAACTTCAAGATACAGGTCCATGCTAAGCAGTACCACAAGAAAACATTTTATCTATGTTGTCAAAACAGCTAGGAGGTCTTGGTCCTGGACAAGAGACACTGTGCTTGGTGTGTTTCTCACAAGGAACAAGAAGGCAGTAACAGCTCCAAGGCAGGCATCATCTAGGTAATATTCCAACAGCTTTGATAGATGATGGAGTTTATTAAACTAACTTGATAGGTGGTGATTGCTAATAAATTAGGTTGAAATTGGACAATAATTTTTCTGAATGATTTCCCACGGTTCTAATTTTGTGCTCACTGAATGGAACGTTCAAGAAAGATCTTTATTTACCTCCCTCTGGAGTTCAGCCATTTGAAATAAAGTAGGAGAGATGATCATTCTTTCCTTGTACTTGAAATTAAAATATCAAATTTTTCATTATTTCCGTGCTTTGCTAATAAAACAGTACAATTAAACCAATAAAAATTCACGTTAAGTAGTTAGCCATTATGAAAAGTTGGTAGCATCTTCGATTTTTTTTTCCTGAGTGCTGTGTTAATAGCTCTAAAGTGCCAGTGAACAAGAAAACAATGTTGAAAAGTAGAATATAAATGGAATTTGCATTCAAATACTCCATAATATCCTTAGCCTTAGACCAGTTCCTGAAAGAACTAAATGTATATAAGAAGCTGTGCCACTAAATTTAACTAAATAAAAAATAACAGAAGCAACAGATTACTATTCAACAGAATGTTTTACAGCAAGCAAAATGACATTCAGAAAAAAGAGAGACACAGTAGCCTTTCTGGTCTTTTCACTGTGATGCTACCAAGCCCCACAATCTTTTCCACCCATCCACCAGAAACCTGACCCAATCTTCTTACCTTGGCATTGAATTTGGCAACGAAATCGAAGTGTTTCTTCAGGTCAGTAGCCAAAATTGCCTCAATGACGAGGAAGCGGAAATGCTTGAACTCCACGTGGTCGAGGTTGACCAGGAAGTTGTACTCTGGCCTCGACATGAAGAGGTTCCAGGCAGCGGCGGCGTGGTGGTTCTCCAGGACGGAGCGGTCGTTGTACAGCACTGCCTGTGAAAGGAATGTGGGCAGCTGAAAGCTGAGGAACTCCTTAGCAAAAGAAACACTGCAACGCAGGAATGAGATTGACGTGGGGATGATGCATGAAGGAGGTTCAGGTTTGGTGAATTTGGGGTTTTTTTTGGTTTTTTTTTTTTTAAGAACCTCCTGAGGTTTGAAGACGTGATTTTGGCAGGACTTAAATAAGAGACACCTGAATTGTGACGCTGAAGATTTATTGGAAGATTAATTTGGAAAATCTGGGTCTTTCATGCTTAAGGGTCTTTGGTTCCTGACTAAACTGCATCTGACAATAGATTATTCTGTTTCAGGCCACAAACTAATGACTAAAATGGCATAAGTGTGTGCTTCCCAGTTTCTCGGAACTAACTTGACTTAATGGGGATTATTGTCTTTGGTGTTTGCACCTGGCAATTCTGTCCATATTGGACTATTCCAAACACAGAAACAAGTGAAATTCCAGTTTGCAACCTGACAACACACACTCAACCTGACAGATTTCTCAATCCAAAATGGGTTAAATCTTTACCACAAGATGAACCATAACTCTCACAGTGATGGCAATTCCATTCAGAAACTAAAGAAAGATACAGAAAATGGACTTTAGGGGACAACAATCACCCAGGAAATCTCTCCATTTCAGCAGCATTTAGTCTTTTGACAATTTGGTTTATGGAAAGAAAAGCTTTTGGAAATATGCTTCTATGTAAAACAGATACAAATTTTCTAAGTTTTTACACAAACATATACACATACGTTCCAGTGGCTTTTCATGTCAATTTCATTTTTCTGTCATCTATAACTGAAAAAATTCAACCCTATCCTAAAGTATAGAATCTATTCTTTACCCCATAGAACAGGTTGCTGAAGCAACTCAGCTTTTCAGCCCTTCTTGCCTTCCTGCACAGTAAACATTTGAGATAGATATGTTCTGCTACCCAGGCCTGACTCCTGAAAGCAGATTTTTAATACAACAGCACTTTATCATTACTGGAAGCTAGTCACGAAAAAGAAGAAAAAAACTCCATATGCCAAATACAAGTTCTGCAAATTTCAGGTGATATCGGATTTAAAAAACCAAACCAAAACCCCAAAGCGTAACAAGAATAATTTGAATTTTTCCCATTAATTTATTTTCAGACTAGAGACAATACGTTAAGGCTAACCATTCCTTTGTTGATTTTTACAACCACAAAGCTACAGCAAAAATTTCTTAAAATTAGATTTAAGTATAGCATACATTTTCTGTCAACCTATTTACCTGGCCAGAGTATCAAAGTTCTCAATCACACAAAGATGTTGCAAGGATGAGAAGTATTACTATCAGTTTATAGACAGAAACTGATACAGAGCAAGCTCATCATCTAACTTCCTTTGTTGATTTTTACAACCACAAAGCTACAGCAAAAATTTCTTAAAATTAGATTTAAGTATAGCATACATTTTCTGTCAATCTATTTACCTGGCCAGAGTACCAAAGTTCTCAATCACACAAAGATGTTGCAAGGATGAGAAGTATTACTATCAGTTTATAGACAGAAACTGATACAGAGCAAGCTCAGGTGACTTGGTCTTGGTGAGAGAGGAAGTCTGGATCCAAACTGGGGAGTAAATCTAGAGTTTCTGCATCCCTTCTCAACATTAAGCTATCTTTATTTCTTTCCTTGTCCACAGAAATATCTTTTCAGCATAGTATGCTGAAGCCAGGCAGGTCAGCTATGTAAAGTAAGGAAAGAGGATCTCATAATTAAGCCAATGAACAGTAACTCAGAATTGCTGAATTCAACTCCCAGCGCTGGCAGTAACTTCTGTATAATTTTAGGTAAGTCTAAATTCTTCATTTATAAAACTGAGACTATTTTCTACACCCCGCCTATCATGCCCCAGAGTGTAAAAATCCATTCACAAAAGACTGCAGCTACTCATATTCTATAGAAACAACTCAAAATATGTTATGATCATGCACAAATTCACTTGCACGGTGCACTGTCAACTATACAGGTGTTTTTTTTATTTTATTTTAATCTTTCTGTGCCTTACTTGGTAGAGTAATTCTTCCCTTATTTCACAGTTACAGATTCTCCATCAATTGGCAGAGCATGAGCTTCTCCTTCACTGAGACATTTTATCAGTACCTTTCTTATCAGCTCCACTACCTGAGAGTGGAGAGGGTGTGTGAGAAGATTCTCACCAGTAACCCCCAAGTGAAGTGATTATTTCTGTCACATTGATAAGCTGCTTCAAAATATTTGGTAGACTTGTGCTTAATGGAAGCTACAGGCACCACTGGCAAGGAGAAGCTGTTACCAAAGACCTTCCAAACTTAACAGCAACGCTGCCTGAGATTTATTTTACCTGAGGAGCGCTCGTTGCTACCAAAAAGGCATTGGTCCTTCCTGGATGATCATAATCATGCATGGCTGCAGCTACATAAAGAGCCATCAATTCAAGGGCAGGGATGTTGCCAGCTAGGCATCCATAGCTGTCATCTGTAGGTGTGTATGTCTTCGAAAACACATAACCCATATGGCCATGAGTGATTCCACTGTCAGAATCTGAGGAGAAATAAAGAAATTTAAAAAAAAAAAAAATCCTTAGTACTTTTTCAGTGACGTACTAAAAGATAGAAGGAACAAAGCAGGAAGAAAAAAAAAAATAAAAAAAATCCTTAGTACTTTTTCGGTGACTTACTAAAAGATAGAAGGAACAAAGCAGGAAGAGAAAGAGCAAATTTAAAATACATAACAGAAAAGTAACCACATCCTGCCTCAAGGCTTTCTGATGCTGTGCACAGGATCCAGCACAATAAGGCACACAATTGGAAAGGAACAAATTCTGATCCCACCCGGGGATCTTCCAGCCAGCCAACAGAGCCTGTGCTCCAAGTATGTAAATTTCTAGCATTTCACAATTTTTTTGTGGGTAACTCGATCTTCCCACTCCTTCCTCTAATTGCTTCACTGTATAGATCAGTCTATGAGACACTAACAGTCCTTAAAGCCACAGACTAGCATCTATTAATTCAATTATGGTGCATGTTTTCCAATCCAAAGGTCTAGACTTTGGATTGGAACTGATAATCCTCTTAATAGCATCTTTTTGAAGCAGCTTTAAAATGCCCATCAGGGGTAGATACTGAGAGAGATGCTTTGCTAATTCAATCAACTTGAATGGATCTTAACATGCAGTTGAATAATGCCCTTCAGACAACAATCACCAAACAGCCCCCAAACTCAACGCCTTTCATTCCACCCACTTCACCTCACCTAAAAAGCATCCCACAACCCTTGCTAATAAAATTTTCCAGGAATAAAAATGTTTCCCACCCCACCAAAACACCCCAAAGAGTTTCCCAAATGGCGGAAGTGCAGTTGGAAGTCCATGGCACCACCTGCATGCCCCAGTGGTTTTGTAATAGCAAAACAATGCAGGGTTTGAGGATTTAAAAGTCTACACTACTTCTGGAGCGGTGCATGGCTAATACAGTTTCCTAGGAAAAAAAAAAAAAAAAAAAGGTATTGTAAAAATCTAATGGTAACAAACATCTGTTATTAGGGTGACCACAAAGGCTCGCATTCACACATCGTTACATGTAAAGCTTTAGGTTTTGGAGGATCATTTCCATTCTCTTCAAAGTTACACCAACATTACCTTAACACCTTCAACACCCAACAGTGCTGCTGAACTTAAAAGCCTATATAGTAACGAGCCCTGCACGCAACCCTCAATTGTTGGCTTTCTTCCAGCAAGTTTCACCACAAAAGGGTTTAAAAATACAACATACGTGTACTTGCACATTGAAATATACCTGAATCGCTGGCTGAGCCGTGATCATTAATGACGGTTGGGAGTCCTGGGATGGGCTGAGTCGTAAGGTACCAAACAGCATGTAGGACATCAGTTGCATGGATGCGGTTGTGATCTGTGATAGGAAGCAAAAGAGCCTGCTGTTAAACATGAAAGATAATTTCGGCGAGAGGGAAGTCAGCACCATCTAGTGGGTACCGTGTGGCAGTTAACAAATCAAACATCACAAGCCTGAAAAACAGCTGTATTCTGTAAATGATCGTGTTTTCTTTTACTGAAGTTCAGTGGTATGTCTCACACCAGTCAAGAAAGAGAAAACAGCAGAGAAGCTGTGGGATCTGCAACGTAGGCAACGCTGCAAAGGAAGGGTTAAACAAGGAGCCTGACCTATGCCGCCAGCTCCAATCCTTTATTGCAGCGGTTGCCTTTGGCTAGTTAAATGCCATCAGGTGAACATGCACTGCTCACCTCTGATTCAAATGAAACCTGTGGGCAAATCTCATCCACTTCAGCAGCTGGATTTCACCTCACTTCTAAAAACAAGGCAGGTAACGCTTACCCGACTCTACTTGAGCAAGCTTAGGTGCCATGCTAGCATCTGCACTGCAAAAAAATTCAAACTTGGGATATATGAATACTGCACAGGCTCTTCCTGCAGTTTTTCTGGCCCTGGATCCTGCAATCTGGTTTACTACAAGCTCTCTTTGCAGAAATAAGAGACAAAAGTCACCCCAAGGCTCATCCCAGCAAATCCTTCAAGGCCAGATAAACTATCCCAAAATCAACACAACTGGTCGAAAAAGAATTTCACACTAGCTCAGCACAAAGCACCATTTAAACATAGGCTAGTAAAAAGCAACCCTGATGCTGGAGGAGGGGTAATGCTTTTGCTGCACCAGGAGCCAAGCTTACATCTGGCATTAAACCACTGAAAAACAAGCATTTCAGCTTGTGATTCAGGCCAATTTTGGGCAAAGTACAGGTATCTTCTACTGTTGACTAGCTAAACACAAAGAAATCTGCTAATCCAAATGGCAACCTGTGGCTGCACTGCTGCTGCTGCAGTTCTGGAAAGACGCATTTCAGAGGACCAAGTACAAAAATGCACAAAATGACTGCTGGGTCACCCTCATCTGTAAAACTCACAGTAACCGGCTACTTCTTGAAGCAACCAGTCATCCTAGTTGAAGGTGCCAATTGGTAAAGCCAATCATCCAGCCAACCAACTGCTGGAACAGGCTTAATGGGAACAGGCAAAGAAGTAGGTTATATTAAGAAGATAATGGTCAAGAATCAAGATAATGCTGGACACTATATGTAACGCTCTTCAGGAAAAATTATCAACCCACAAGCCAGCAGCCTGCTCTAAGAAGCAGTAGTGTAAATTTGTCTGGATTTCATTAGAGGTGAAACATCTGTACTCTGGAGGAGCAGAAGGGACTGGCAGCAAAACGTGTAAGCAACCTGGTTTTAATCTTACTGCATCCTAAAGATAGGCAGTGTGGAGGGTTTCACTGAATTTCACTGAATTTCTAGAGTTGGAAGGGACCATAGAGATCATCTAGTCCAACTTCCCTGCTGAAGCAGGATTGCCTAGAGCTAGAGCATGTTACTCAGGAGCATCCAGGTGGGTCTTGAAAATCTCCAAAGAAGGGGACTCCACAACCTCCCTGGGCAGCCTGTTCCAGGGCTCTGTCACCCTCACTGTGAAGAAGTTTCTCCTCATATTTGAGTGGAACCTCTTCTGTTCCAACTTGTGCCCGTTGCCCCTCGTCCTCTCACTGGGAACCACTGAAAAGAGTCTGGCTCCCTCCTCCTTCCAGCCTCCCTTGAGATACTTTTAGCCTTCTCTTCTCCAGACTAAAGAGTCCCAGCTCTCTCAGTCTCTCCTCATAAGGGAGATGCTCCAATCCTTGAATCATCTTTGTTGCCCTTCGCTGGACTCTTTCTAGTTTCTCAGAACTGAAGTTGAACTTCACACTAAGGCCACTCCTTCTATGGGAGAAGAGGAAGGAAGGAGAAGATCTGGGATGGAGAATGCGCCATAATGTCATGCCACTTGGCCCCTGTATTTACCCCTCACTCTCCTCTTTTGCTCTCCTTTGTCTTCCCTGTGACCCTCCCTTTAAATACCTGTTAGTGACTGCTAGCTGAAGTTCTGAGTTTCCTCTCCCCTGCATTCCTCAAAGTACTAAGAACATCTTTCTGGAGACACTAATCTCACGCAAAACCTGGAGGACAGCCCTGCATAGGCCATCTATTGCTTTTCTCAAGAGTTAAAGCTGGGATGAGCCCCTTGTGAAACTTGCACTGATTTAATCCAACTGGGATAGTCACCATTAGTTTTGTGTGAATAACCCATTTTTTCAGTTCAGCAACCAGAAGAAAAAAGTGGTTAACTCCAGACGAGTTGTTCCGGTTTTTACCCCTTCACTGAAAGGAAAAACTGGAGGTAATTTAATTCTGTGCTGGACAAAATATTCCACTTTATTAAAATGAAACACACATAAGAAAAAAACAAGGAAATGAAGGATTAGATTCACAAAAATTCCTTAGACTCTATGAATAGTTAAGTGGGGAATATCTCCAGAAGGATGGACAGACTGTGGGACATCCACATCTAGCCCCCTCAGGCTGTAATCTGCTGCTTGAAATCCCTGGTCAGATGCTGTTAGTGACTGCTAGACGATCTGAGTTTCCTCTCCCCTGCATTCCTCAAACCTGTTAGTGACTGCTAGCTGAAGTTCTGAGTTTCCTCTCCCCTGCATTCCTCAAAGTACTAAGAACATCTTTCTGGAGACACTAATCTCACGCAAAACCTGGAGGACAGCCCTGCATAGGCCATCTATTGCTTTTCTCAAGAGTTAAGCTGGGATGAGCCCCTTGTGAAGGGGGCTGATTTAATCCAACTGGTAAAGTCACCATTAGTTTTGTGTGAATAACCCATAGCTGGGATGAGCCCCTTGTGAAACTTGCACTGATTTAATCCAACTGGGATAGTCACCATTAGTTTTGTGTGAATAACCCATTTTTTCAGTTCAGCAACCAGAAGAAAAAAGTGGTTAACTCCAGACGAGTTGTTCCGGTTTTTACCCCTTCACTGAAAGGAAAAACTGGAGGTAATAGAAAAAAAGTGGTTAAGTCCAGACGAGTTGTTCCGGTTTTTCCCCCTTCACTGAAAGGAAAAACTGGAGGTAATTTAATTCTGTGCTGGACAAAATATTCCACTTTATTAAAATGAAACACACATAAGAAAAAACAAGGAAATGAAGGATTAGAGTCACAAAAATTCCTTAGACTCTAGGAATAGTTAAGTGTTTTGAAAAATGGGGAATATCTCCAGAAGGATGGACAGACTGTGGGACATCCACATCTAGCCCCCTCAGGCTGTAATCTGCTGCTTGAAATCCCTGGTCAGATTCAAACCAAGGAAAGACTTGAAATTTGGTCTCTCATTTTCACAGAATAGAGTCCAAACTGCCTGGCTGGAAGGCATTTTGAAGTAGCTTTCCTACTATAGTTGTTTCAATTGATATTTAATGTTTGAGAGAAGGACTACATGACTTACTAAACCAACATCTCAGGCATTTTTCGTGGAGGTGGGAGAAAACAGGGTGCACTATAATCCTCCACACAAGGGTTATCTGCCAGATAAAAGAGATAATAATTTGCTCCCTCCTCCTGGAAAAAAAAAAATTAAAAAAAAGTCTTCTGCAGTTGAAGCGCTTTGGTAAATTGGATTTGTATTAATACTTTGGGGATGTCTGAAAGCAGGTTTTTCAGTGTGTAAATGATTCACACTGAAAAACACCAGCCAATCTCTACATGCAGAAGAAGAGGATGCACTCATCTACTTGGCATACTTTTTTCTTTTCACAGGGCTCATCTCCTTTGGTAGCATTGCACTGCTACTGTGTAAAAATCCAACCTCCATGGATTCAGTAACCTCCAGCTGGGGCACTGGCGTGTACTTGCATCATCAAGAAACAGTTCCTTGTACTTACAGTAGCTTTATATGGTTTCAGGCTTGCACAGAATTTGCCATGAACTATTATTATATGAAACAACATGAGATGTTAAGCTCAATGAAAAAAAGACAAGTTGAGGTTGTGGTTCAACACCAGCCTCTGACTAGAGAGCCATCCATTTGTTAATGATGTAGCTGAAGAGAAAAGGAGCTGCTATAATGAGAGAAGAAAAGCTTCAATAAGAAAGTGAGTGGAAAATAGCCAACACTTTAGAGCAGCACCGTTATCTGCTGGGAATTTTTACTTACAAGGTATCTCTCGGTATCCACATTCCAAGGCATGAAAGTAGTTCATAAATTCCCTCACTGGAATCTTGAAAGTCTCAAACAGCCCCATGTCTTCAAAAAGCCTGTATGATACCTGAAAAAAACAAAACCACCATCCTGCTAAATAGACCAGTAAAAAAATCTAAAAATTAGATATAAAAAACCATTGTCAAATTACTCCATGAAAACCTGCTTTCCTGGTAGTGTTTTCTCAAGTATGTTTGACCCACCTATAGCTGCAGCTACTTGCATTTCCACGTGGATATGGTTATGTAGCCAAACAGACAAGCTATTAGTACTCAACAGTCCTCCCCACTTCTTCATTATATCCTTCCAGATGTCTTCTTCCTTTCAGGTCTATGTATCCCCCAAATTCTGCAAGCACCTCAGAAACATACACACGTTAAGGAAGACACCCAGAGGTCCCACAGAACTTCTCCAAGGAGCATTCATGAATCAAATCACTTCCCAGAAAAAGGGGGAACGAGTGAAGGAATCACCAAAGGACAGAACCTTTCGGATCTTATGCATTATCTCCTTTCCCTCATTTTGGAAATGAAATGGCACAAGTGACTTTGACAGGATTTTGGAGGCACCAAGCGGTTTAGGAAGCAGAGCTGCTCCAAGTGTTCCTGTATGGAAAGATGACTGTAGACATCCAGAAGAGGATATATTGGAGGCAAGAACGTGACGGATGAGTTGGGAGGTATTCAGGAGAGACGACTGCTCAGAAATGCAGCAGCTGCTGCAAAACGGACACTTTTGAGGACAAGTTTGAATTTGACATACTGGACATAGTAAAATTACTGCCTGACCTTTTCACTTATTTCACAAATTGGACCCTAAAGCCTTTCAGCTTCTTTATTTATTTACTGCTGTTAGCTAAATTCTGTCCTTTTGATGCCATCTGTCTGGTAATAATCTGCCTAGAGCTAAGCAATTTGACACGTTTGGAATGATGAGTGCTATTCTGATAAGAAATTGTTACAAATTATGGTTCGTGTTTTATACCTGAATGTAAATCAAACAGCTATCCACACCTATTTCTTTCTGTATATTGTGCATGTGAATTGGGATTTGTGATTTGCACCTAAAGTTTAATAAGCAGAAACTTCAAATGTTCTGCAACTGTGGGTTTTTACAATAAGAATAACAAAAAAGGATATAAATTTGCAGGCTTAATGATCCCCGCCCCACCTCTTAGTCATTCCCTACCAGGAAAAATCTGCATGTGAGCTAAACTCTCTGGCAAAGCATTGCAACAGGCTGAGATGATGCAGAGACAGGTCGAGTGTGGTGTCTGACACCGTCCAGGATGTCCCTCTAACGACACATATCTGACGGTTGGGGTTCTTCTACTGGTGGCCCCATCTGTTACTTCTGTTCCTACCATAACTGTGTAAGTGCCACTAGCAATGCAGTCAGAAAAATCACTGCTGGTGGTAATTTCTCTTTATGGCCGTGGCTGTTGGCCATAATGTGAAAAGTTCTTCATAGCAAAGGAGATAAGGCCTGCTGAATTATGGTGCTCTGGAAGACATGAGCTTAGAGTAAAAGGTAAAGCCTGTAGAAGCCAAAACTTTTACTCTCTGAAAACCCCATGAGATCCTCCTGTACTGAGGCAGAGAGAAGAGACTGACTTTATGCATAGGATTAGAAGCTACATAGAATTCTGTTATCTATCTGGAATCACAGTAAATCAGTAAATCAGCTAGGATTTCAGCTGATTTCTTTCAGCTACGGAGAGATGAAGTATTTCACACTCTCATCTTAGATCGCTGAATGGTCAGCTTCATATTTCCAGCAAAATATCCACAGATAAAAAGAAGAAGCATAAACAAATACTATTCTGCAGAACCAAACCTTACTGGTCTACACTACCAATACTGGACAGGTATCTTCAATTAAGCATGCTATAAAAACATGTTTTTCCTCCTTGGGTTGGGGGTGATGAGAGAAGTGGAATTCCACAGCAGTTGATGGAAATGAATGACAGCTGTTCCCCAATGCTTGCAGTAAAATGGTATTATTCTCTGCGATCATTAGAAAGCATAAACAGCCAAGCAAGACACGTAGACATTTCTGTAATGTTTTCTTCCTTTTTCTTAACAAACGGGGAGGAGGAAGGGGTAAGGGCAGCTCACAAAGAGGAAAAAAGGGCATCGATGTCTTCCAGAAAGTCAAATAACCAAATTGTTTCGTTTAAAACAAACAAACAATCAAATCAATTCCGCGCCCCCCCCCAAAAAAAAAAAAAAAAGATACTGCAATTTTGTTTATGCTTTGCTTCAACCATTTGTAAAGACTACTGTCTGTTAAAATCCTTCCTCCCCCTTCCGGCTCTGACAAACATGACTCCCCACAAGGGCTGTTGTGATGATCCTGGGAATATCCCGTCCCCCAAGGACTGATTTCCCGAATTCCTCCAATTTTCCTTCTCCAGAAGTATTGCATATTGATGAGATGACCCAACATCCTTCTTGGCACTGCTACCCAGGGTCGAACTCACATTCACTGCAACGATGCCACCCCACCTCCACGCTGCTCATGTATCAAGAGCTTGGCTTTCCTCACCTCTATGGGCCCAGGAATAAAAGCTAGAGAGAAACCTTGACTTCAGCCTGTTCTTTTTCACTTTATTTGCTTTCCAAAGAGAATGAGTTGCTCTTCCACGAGTTTTAGTTTTATAGGAGCTGTAAGAAGGGTGTTACGTGTGACTGAAGACATTACCTAACTTTATAGCCTGTTGTGGAGCATCAACTCAGTTGGAGAGCTTTGCTGTTCCCTTCTGAAATGAGACTGCTATGCAAATTCCTCTCTAATCCCTATCATGCATATTTTTTAGTGTCACATTTAGAGTGCTTGCCACTATATTTTGCACAGATGCTTTTATGGACGCTGACTGGTTTGGGATCTTTTTATATGTCTAAATCAATTTAAAATTCCAAAAAGAAGAAACAGACATCTCAAGCAGCTTCAAAGATGCTAAGCCAGCATTTGCTTTCTAGACTGAACGCTTCCCTAGAGGCACGTGTCAACTCTGCTTTGTTCCATCTCATAAATTTAACCCAGCAAGGCAAACATAGTTAATTCAGCTTGTTAATTTACTTATTTTAATGGATGAGTCCATTTAACGGAAAATACAGAGAATGAATCATTAGAGCTTTTGTTTTCCTTTGTTTATAATATCCCAGGATTTTAAAATTATACAAGAAAAAGATGATACTTTCAGCTGGAGAAAAAGATTTATTTATTTTAGTTCTCTTATTTCTGAAAATAATTTTATTAGGGACATATGAGCAGATGGAGGAAAAAAGTAAAGGAATTATCTTTATTTTATGAACAAGGTTGAGCTTGCTGCATTCTGCTCTTAGGGAGTGGGAGTTACTACGAACAGCTGATAGAGAAAATGTTGAATTTTGATCACAAACATTATTTATTAAAGCATCACTATTTTATTTCACAGGCCTCATTTTGTGGCACTGCAAAATGGATAATGTGCTCAGAACCTGTGCAAAAAAGCAGATGTTGGGAAACAGGGTGTGGAGCTTTAGTGTGAATTGAGGGAGGCACAGGGGAATTGTCCTGAGAGGTACAGAACTCCATGCAACTTGGTAAAGTGCTTAAAACCTATAGAGGTACCCATGTAAAACCAGAACCAATTTTGGCTCACCCAAATCATTGGTTATGCCACTAAAAAGAGCATTTTAATCACATGCTCATTGTCCAGTGCAAAAGTGTCTCAATGTTCATCACTGAATTTATATTGACATCCACATCCAGCCACCATAGTTTGCCTATTTCTTTAAAATCAACCTAGAGAGCTGGTTAAACATAGATGTTACTTGCCAAGCTATGGAACGATAAAAGGCAGACCACAGAATAAATCTGAATTCATGCTGTGGTTTTCTTGGTTCACCACTGGATAATTGAATGTAGCTGAATAACAGTTAAACACCAAGGGACCAAGATTTGATACTGCATTCTCTGGAGCTTGTTGCACTGAGATCTGCCTGACACACTAATCTCTGTGTTTGTGGGGGGTGTTAATTGTCCCACATTATACCAATTAACCTAATCTCTTCTTTCCAGCACTCATCACTACATAAAGCCTTGTAAAGTGATATTAGATCAGTCAGATTCTCTTGGGGTTTTATCCCTTCCATCCTTAAATAGAATTACTTGCCTTTCCTGTTTAATAACCCTCAATACCTCCGTAAGAAAAAAGGGCTCAATTGTCAGTGTGCCAGGAAAAGGGGCATAACAGAGCAGAAAGTTCAGCCAAGAAAGTGATTATGGAAGTGACATTAATCATGCTGGGTAGAGACAGGCCATGTCAGTACCTGCGTTCAACATAAAGGAGAGAATGAAAAACTGATAGCTGAAAGAAAGACTAGGAAGCTCTCATATCCTGATTCATAATAAACTAGTCTTCCCTATGTAATAATGACATGAATTTACTAACAATGTGCTGACTCTTTAAAGGTGAGAGAAAATAGCAGGGACTATTTTTTACCCCCCACTTCCTGAGACCTTGCTTTCTTGCACAGCCTGACAAATCTCCAGTACAAAAAAAGGACCAAAGTTCTGTATTGCCTGCATCAACTGAAGATATTTACTGTTTCCTCCTCCCATGCTGAACCCCATGTGAAATCCTGCCACAAAGAACTTGGTAAGGGGTGGCAGCACGTCCTGCAGATAAGTGAATATTCAGAAAGGCTTATGTAAGCTCATTGGCAGAAAGCAGCAGGCAAAACAGGTATGTGTTTTTTTTCTGTCACATTTTTAAATTTAAAAATATAGAAATCTAAATGTAAGGAATGTAATAAGACGGATTTCATAGAGTCAGCTTTGAATTAGGTGGCAGAGATGACAATTCAATGGATGACCAGCTGGTAAGGACAATGGGTCTTAATGCTACTTTGTGTAACTCTGTCAATAATCTAGCCAGTCCTTGGAGCCTTCTTACCTGACTGAGAATCCGACCACATTTCTTTCCGATTTTTTCCACCAAATCAAAGATTGGGAAGTTCCAACTATTTAGCTGCTCCATCAAGGGATCCAAGTTGTCCATAACCAGAGGCTCAGGAGCAAGTACGGGCTTGTCCTATGCCAGCAATCAGAATAAAGAGAAATTTTAGTTCTGTGAAGCATCTCATGCAAAAAATGTGTGCTCTTAAAAACTAAAGTCACATTAGCATCATCTATAAGCTGATGGTACTTGACTTAGCTCAGCGGAGATGTCCCCATTTCCACCAGCCCTGCAGCTAGTCACTCTCCTTTATAATTTGTTTTCACTTGAATGAATAGAAAATCCTGTATATGAAACATCAGTCTCTGAACTTATCCATTAGACGCATTCATTTGTTCATTCATGAGAATCATTCATTCATTTCCAAGGGAGCCTGTCTTCTTCATTGTAAAATTTGCTCCAGTACAGAGGGAAAACCATTCAGTTTCTACTTCCACATGAGGACCCATTCGTTACAATCTAAAATGGCTAATGGAGCTCAGTCCAAGTGAAGACTTGTACTTCTTAAACTGAAGCCTACCTGTTTTTCAAAATCTGCAAATAAAAGACGGGCGGTGTCCCTCCTTTCACATTTTCCCCTGTATACTTCCTTGAATTTTATTATTATTAAGAAACTGTAGATGAGTAAATGCCAAAATATCTCCAGAAAAATGCCTTCTCTCAACATGTCCAACTCCAATTCAACAGATTACAATACATTTTTCGAGAGCACATGCCTACTTAATCAATTCAGTTGTACAACAGGCTGTGGAAAATTTAACTAAAGAAAGCTTTCCCTCTACATCTCAATCAAGCTTACAGCTGAATACAGTAGTCGTGAGAGGGTCAGCAGGTGTTGACCATACTGCAATGTTCTTATGACATTCACCAACAATAACATCATGCAGCACCCTCAGACAAGTGCTAATTTGTTTTACAAAAAAAGGACCACTGTATCTATTAGCCAAGATTGTAAGGCCACTGAGAAGCTGAAGTGGCTGAACAGGAAGACTATATATCAAGCTGGTAGTCTGAGAAGATAATTCCTCTTCCTTCCAATCTCTTCCCTTTAATGGCAACACTAACACAGACGCCAAACATTTCAGAAATGCCTAATGCCAGATCCATAAACGTGTATTTACTCATCAAAATAGATGGCTAGAGTTTCACAGCTGGGCAGTGCTTATCAGCTCTCATGCATTTAAAGGGTTCCTTTCAATTCTTGAAAGTCAATCTCAGAATCACAGAATCACATGGGGTTGGAAGGGACCTCTGGAGATCATCTAGTCCAACCCCCTGCCAAAGCAATCCTCCTACTCCAAAGTCGGAGCCTGCTGTAATTGCTGCTTAAACCATACTCACAGTCTTTAGACAGCCCTAAGGGCTTTTTCTGTGGTGTTTTGGAGTTTTAGGTTGGTTTGGTTTTTAGGGTGGGGTTTTGTTTTGTTTTTTCCCCCCAGTGTCAGTATACTGCACTGGTGAGGCCTCACCTTGAGTACTGTGTCCAGTTTTGGGCCCCCTACCATAAAAAAGACATAGAGGTGCTGGAGTGGGTCCAGAGAAGGGCGACTAAGATGGTGAGGGGTCTGGAGAATAAGTCTTATGAGGAGAGGCTGAGGGAGCTGGGGTTATTCAGCCTGGAGAAAAGGAGGCTGAGGGGAGACCTTATTGCTCTCTACAACTCCCTGAAAGGAGGGTGTAGAGAGGTGGGGGTCGGTCTCTTCTCTCAAGTCACAGGCAACAGGACGAGAGGAAATGGCCTCAAGTTACGCCAGGGGAGGTTCAGGCTGGATATTAGGAAAAAATTTTTCACGGAAAGGGTTCTCAGGCATTGGAATGGGCTGCCCAGGGAGGTGGTTGAGGCCCCATCCCTGGAGGTGTTCAAAAGATGGGTTGATGTAGTGCTGGGAGGTCTGGTTTAGTGATGATGCTCCTTGTTTGTTGTGTGGGTGTCTATTTTTGTCAGTTAGGTTGACGGTTGGACAAGATGATCTTTAAGGTCCCTTCCAACCTAGAAGATTCTGTGATTCTGTGTGAGTGGAATTTAAAGAAGCTACCTCAGGTGGTATCAAGGGATGCAGAATGATGGTTTCAGGCGCGTACGTCCTACAGACGGATCCCTTCCGCGTCTGCTCCTTGGAGCAATCTGTCTCGTCATCGTTCTGTACGATATCGCTGCTGTCACTGTTGTTGGTCTCATAGTCAGAAGTGGCTTGCGCGGGATCGTCTACAACAACAAATCACAAAGCTCGTGGTGCGAACAGCAAGGGTTGCATCAAAGTCATCCTGCGACCTTCTGAATAACAGGATCTCTGACTCATAATACATATGTGCTGCTTGGCTGAGCCCAGAGTTGGACAATCTGTCCAAAGGCATTAAAACATATACCCTGCAGAGTGTAAAAAAAAAATGGGATCGGGGACTGAAGAATGAGAAAAATTTTGAGGAGCGTTATTTGAGCTGACTAGGTTAGATGAGGGAAACTGTATTTCCTTTATATTTTAACTCTATTCTTCATGAGTATTTTCACGTTATGCATATGAAAAGGAAAGAAGCCCCAAAGACAATTTGCACACTCTCATCTACATATGTTCTCCTTTTATGACAGACAGGCATATCTGCCCTTACACTGAATGATTATTGAATTTTAAGGGGTGAGGATTTTTTGATGGACAAAGAATTACCTGTTCTGTTCAGGGTGTGTGTGGTACCATCATTTCTATCTAGTGTCCCATCACCAGCTTCTATTTGGTTATAGGGTCTGCCACAGCTGAAATACATCAAGAAACATGCAAAATATAAAGAAATATGCACATTAGACAGTCTTATGCAAAATTATTTCCTGCTGAGAGTGTAAGATTATGTCATGCAGTATAAGCCATGGTACTCTCCAGACAAAATAAGCCAGTGTACTCTCCAGACAAAATTGTAAGAGCGAGCTGAAGTTTTATTGGACGTCAGGAATGGAAAAAGACAAAAAATACAAAAAGACCTTGGATTAACTGGCCACCACCATTAAATTTGTGTTGCCACCAGTAAACCTACACTATCTGATTTGTTTTCTTTTTTAATGACTTTTTTACTCTCTAAATATTTTGCTATTACTTCAGTGACCAAGTACACCAGAGCCAAGGGGACCTTTTGGATGAACATGAGGGGAGTGATCTGTCATCCAGACATTTAGCAATGAAATAAGAAGACCAAGTTTGCTTCATCATTCCCAGAACAGAAAGCCACTGTGGGAGGGACCACAATATCATGGCCTTTGCAAATGTCTGGCTCTTCTGTTCCATTAAAATACCTTAATCATTGTGTGTCATTCTCTTTAAGCCCTAAACGTGAGATTCAATACCCGCTGGAACATTTCAAAGTACGATGTGCCAATATGATTGAGTCTAGGACCTGAAGGAACAATGATATATCATGAAAACACAAGAGAACTTAACAAATCTGAAGCCTTGTTTAGCAGTATTATATCCAGTCTGTCCATGAGAACCTGATGTAACATTTCTCTCTTTGGTTTGAGTCAATATTTTGTGGCATATCTCATATATATAACAGCCTCTGCAAAGCAATTATTACAAAATTATTTTGTTTGGTCAAACTTTGTACTAGAAACTTTACACCAGTGTAAGTTCACCATATAAAAACGGCTGAAATCTTACACCAGATGGCTTTTGACTGGGTCATCCAAAACATATTGTGGAGCTCAGTAAGCCCTGCACACATAATGAATTCCCGAAAGAATTTTAAATAAAAATACAAATCTGTATACAATGATACTTGTTGTGCATAGCCAAGCAAATAAATCCTGTATCACTCAGGTTTATAAACAAGATGGAAAAAAAGTATTAATTTCTCTCTCCCGCATTCCTTGTGGCTTCCACAATGTCAATGCTAACAAGCCAAAATGTAAAAGAGAAAGAGAGGCTTTGACTGGTTACAATGCTACAAAGCTTTTGCATCGTTAGAGGTGTACCTCTTTATTTCCAGAACATATGCAAAATGACAGTGATTTAATATGTATGGTCCACATAAAACACTGTATTAAAAAAAAAGCATGGCGCTACCTAGTAGAAACCTGCTCCATGTCAGAAGTAAACATGCCCATGCAACTTTAATTCAATCCCCTTCATGCACAGGCATTATAATATACTCCTTAATACAGGATTGTTTAAAATTTGTTCCACAGGATTCCCGTCTCATCCATCAAGCAAAATTAAAAATTATTATCTACAAATTCTTTTAACAGCATTGCCTAGAATATGTTCTTGCTTAGGACAGTTTTCAAAGCCTGCTGTCCTACCACATTTTGCTTTTTAAGTGAAAAAAAAAAAGCACAGTGAAACTTCTGTCTTGGTGCCACTGCCTGGGTGGATCTGATTTAAAGCACTGAACCCATCAAGACTTCATTTCAAGTCTCTTTTGTTGTTGTTGGGGGAAGGATTGGTTTGGTGGTGGCAGACATTTCTTGACATGGTATTATTTTGAAGCAAGGCAGATTTTTGGCAGTAAATGTAAGGGATTGCATATCATGAAGACTAGAAATCTACAATGTGAAAGCTCAAATATTAAAAGATTTATTTCCAGTGTTTGCTAATTTAACTCTCTCGGCTTGTCTTAGCTATTTAATTTCAATATAGAGGTTTCTTTTGTTTTCTTTGGATTTTTTGTATACTCTTTTTTTTTTTGTATTTACATTACTAATAAGTGCATTATTTATGTGCTGTTTGTTCAGCTTGTATCAGTGCATGTGACATCTCTACATAGAAATGGCTAGAAATTTGACTGTGCTTATGGCATTTCAAAGGACGTTAAAGGGACAATGACTATTAGCAATAGTGGGTGCCAATTCTAATAGCAGTCATTACACCATAATATTTTAAATAATGTGTTCGCTTCAAATTATCAACAACAAAGTCTATGCCAGCAATGTAACTAATTGTAATGCTCACTCAGTCTAAGCATGGGAAAACAAGAACATTGAGAGCCTAAAAATGCTATGCAACCTACATAAACCACATAAGACAGGAGCCACATAAAAGCTAATTAGCATTTTACCAATGATTAGATTGAAATCAAAGTCTACAAATATCAAGAAAATATATATCATTACTATCTACAACAATCTTACATAGATTTTTCTTTTTTTTTTTTTTTAACATTTTTATGCAACTGTTAACTGTTTTCCTTAATGGAAGACTTCCAGCGATAACTGTTACTAGTTAAAGTGGTAATATTTTGTTGAAGTAGTGATAAAGGCACAGCTTAATAGGCCAGTAGCATATTTATGGCATATGTCTTATGTGTAATATGTTGCTCACTTTAAATGAATCAGTGCAAGTCTCAGTTTTGCAATACCTTTGAAAACCTCTGAAAAGCACTTAGTTTCTATTCAGCCAACTATGTCTTACAAGCCTCTCAGGATACTAATCTGAACTTCAGTGAGGCTGACCCCCTTGAGGAAACTCCCAATCTCAATTTTACCTTTCTTGCACCCACCTCTGAGCCCTGCACAGAGCGTATCGGGACACGTTTGAAGTCACGTGACTGATGCCAGAAAATAAAAACTATTTCCAAAGATAGTCAAACTTGGTAACATTTAAGGCAGCACATGGCCTCAGATGAGGTCCTGTCTGCTGGCTAGCCAATAATCACAAATTACTCACTACTGTGACCAAAAGTAAGGAACATCTAATGAGTAAGGCAACCTTAAAACCGCACTGGAACAGGCTTCTAAATACCAGTGTTTCCCACTATTCTGAACTGGACACATATTGCAAACTCCAGTAATCTCACTTAACAACTGTTAACATAAGATAAATAGAACAACTTTTTTTTTTTTTTCCCAAAATGCCGATTTTGCAGAGCAGGTCTACGTAAAATAATAATGGGCTACTTTAAAGTGTGAAATTAAACTGCGTAACTCTCAGTAGCAGGAAGAATTCACTTGTAGCTGATTTAAAAAAAATAAATCCCAGTGCTACATAGCCTGACTCTGCCCTAGGGAGGGTAGGATCCACTCCTTCTGAGAGAGTGCTCAAAACTACATAGCCTTCAGGTGGTGTTGGTGCTTCAGGCCAGAAGCTTTGAATCCCTAGCAGCCAGATTTTTCTACCAAACATGAGGTGCCAGTTGTGAAAGACCTGGCCTGGGACCTGAAAGTGACTTGTTTGTGTTAAAGGTATGGCACGAGAAACACAAAGTTGAAAGCCAGCTTTAGGATCTGCAAGTTATTGACAAATAATTTATTTGTGGGTCCGACTGTGCCTCTGAGAGGAGTGAAAGCTGTAAATAGAGCTAACTGTCTCGCCCTTTAAAAGCACTTCAAGCTACACAATGACTCACATATTAAGAACTGCTTGGATAGGGTGAAATATTAACACACAACGCCACGGCAAACCACAAAATCTATGTGGGCCAAAAGAGCTTGCTTGTGAAGACAACATGGAATGATTCCAACGCAGATCAAATGGCTATCTTACCTGCTGCAGATGACAGAGGGGCTGATAATAGGGTCTGACAGGGTAGGGGCACTCTGAGTAGAGGTTAAGACTTTGTGTGGCTTTAAGCCTTGCTTGGTGTCAGTATCTGTAGAGTCTGGAAATGACACGGAGGATGTTTTTCCGGTAGGACTCGTGGCAGGTGTCCCCTGAATCGGTGAATGGCACGGGGAGGTGAGAGGAGAGATATTTGGCGGAATACCTGGTGAGGGGAGAGAAGAGTCTCGTCAATTAACAGAAGTGGCAGATGGTTGTATGAGCTCACCCCGCAGAAATACTCCTCTGGAGATGCGGAGGTACCAGCACAGCTTCCAAACGGAAAGAGAAAACCCTCCTCCACTCTGAGCCAAGCCCGTGGCTGTCACAGAGAAAGGAATCATAGAATCATAGAATTGCCCAGGCCGGAAGGGACCTCCAAAGGCCATCTAGTCCGACCTCCCCGCAGTCAGCAGGGACACCCCCAACTAGACCAGGTTGCCCAGGGCCTCATCGAGCCTCTCCTTGAATATCTCCAGGGATGGGGCCTCAACCACCTCCCTGGGCAACCTGTTCCAGTGCTCCACCACCCTCACAGTAAAGAACCCTCTCCTAATCTCCAGTCTAAATCTGTTCCCCTCCAGCTTGAAGCCATTGCCCCTCGTCCTGTCACTGCAGGCCTTTCTAAACAGGCTCTCCCCAGCCTTCCTGTAGGCCCCCCCCAGGTACTGGAAGGCCGCTATTAGGTCTCCCCGGAGCCTCCTCTTCTCCAGGCTGAACAACCCCAGCTCCCTCAGCCTGTCCTCGTAGCAGAGGTGCTCCATCCCCCTGATCATCCTTGTGGCCCTCCTCTGGACCCTCTCCATCAGGTCCATGTCCTTCTTATATTGAGGGCTCCAGACCTGCACACAACACTCCAGGTGAGGTCTCACCAGAGCAGAGTAAAGTGGCAGAATCACCTCTCTGGACCTGCTGGCAACGCTTCTTTTGATGCAGCCCAGGATGCAATTGGCCTTCTGGGCTGCAAGTGCCCACTGCCTGCTCATGTCCAGCTTCTCATCCACCAGAACCCCCAAGTCCCTTTCCTCAGGGCTGCATGAGGCTCCATTAGTATCAGCCTCTTCTACCTGCTGAAGATTTGGCTCAAAATACGAAGCATATTCTGCTTGTTGAGTGGGATGTACCAACTTGCAGGCACTAACGGCATGACTGTTGGTATTAACATGTTTTAGCAACAGAGACACCAAACTCCAAACAGGCAGCTCCCAGACCCATCTGCAATTTCTCATTGCTTCACTGCCTCCATCTGTAAAGCAGGGACAAGAAAGGCTTACACACATTCCCAGAAAATGTGAATTTCTACATGTGCAAAGACTAGCAATAAACCAAAAAAGCGCTATTTAGTTGTCATGCATTATACGAATATAAAATACTGCACTTATGGTGCCATTTCCGCATTCCTCAGATTTTGGCCTTGATCTTGTGCAGCTTGAGTTTATTTTTCAATATCTGTTGCTCACTTTGGGAGACTCAAGGCCATTACCTGTACCACATGGTATTCTACTCCTGAGCTAGTGTGTCAGAAGTTGCCAACATCCACATGTGTGAACACTACCAAGATGCAGTTCTCTCTGTCTTCTATTCTATCTAAGCACCAAGATGAAAAGCATCAGCCAGTCCAGTGTTTGAGAGAAAGTTCTGCCTTCTCTTCAAATCCACTTTACATTTTCTAGTCTCAGACAAAAAGGTCCAATTCACAATAAAGTGCAGGGGAGCAAAGATAATCTAACTTAAAAGAAAATGCATGTAAACTTGACTTAACCTCCTCGACTTTGTTCTAAAGTTCGTAGGAACTCAGCTCCAGTTCATTTACAGTGTTCATCTTCAAAGCCAAATGATATAAAGAGCTTGGGAACTGACTGGTTTAATGTTTGAATTGTGCCCACTATCTAAATGCATTCCAGACAAAAAAAATTATCTCAGAATAAGGCAATATGTTGACCTAGGTTTATGAAATGCTAACCTTGCAGGATATGTGCACAGTTCCAGTGTGGTTTTTTTTTTTCCCCGATAACAACTTACTGTGATATGAGGTTAAAATATGATTTACTGTTGACAATCCAAGAGTTAAAAATAATCTCTGACAGTTACTACTTCGTAATTTTGAGATATCCAACATCTCCTAAGTTTTGATTAGGGTATTTCTTCAGCAAACATGTGGTATGTATCATTGCCTTAATTCAATGACTGCAACTAGGATATCACGCTAGTCTTGAGATCAGAAACCTAAAGCCCACAGAGCAATTAAAAAGTTATCAGATGGCCATGACATCTAGAAATTGCTTTAAAATACAGAAAGCCTCTGTTTCACATTTAGTAATCCTTTGAGATATCTGCTTTCCATCCAACAAAAGTATGTCTTTAAAAACATTTCACAGTCTGTTAGATACACAAGGGATTGAGTTGGATTATTATCAATCTTTGAGCTATCTGTTACCAGGTAATCTTCATGACTGTCAGAGAATACAATATATACGGTCATCTTTCAAGAATTTAAAGCAAGTCCTGGGATTTTAAACAGCAATTTTCACAATAATGTTTCTAATCACAGTTGGCTTTCTCCTGCAAGTCTGGAGTCCTGTCTCGTGAAATATGTTTGGTTGTGTTTGTTTGTTTTTTTTAAAGAGTAATTTACCAGGGTAGGTTACCAAAAATAAATTTACCAGAAAAATACAAACCCGCTTTCGCCAGGGTAGGTTACCAAAAATAAACAAATTTACCAGAAAAATACAAACCCGCTTTCAACAATCCAAAATTTAACCATTTATTGGCAAGAGTGAGAGAAAATGTGTCTTGCATAAGATAAGATGAATGACACAGGGAGAAATTGTTTAAGTACATCCATCTGCTTAGGTCCTCCAGAACTTTTACACATGTGCGGTGTTGAAGAAAGAAAACAGTAAATTCAATGCAATGTGAAATTACATGTGAAAATTTTTGAGTTTACCTGAGAATTTTGCCAAAATAGGTATAGCTAGCTGTATTTTAAATAATTAAATTGTTTTCATGCATAATTAAAAACACATTTTGTAAGTTAACAGATTTTCAGGTTCATCTAGATCAACTTCTACCAAGGATTATTATATATTACCAATGGAGCTAATATATAAAAGTCCAATTTGTATTAAGTAGTGCAAATTAAAGGAATTCTTTCGTTGGAACATAAAACCGAATTCTAACTAAAAGTGCATGATTGCAAACTGTCTAAACCATCAAAACATTACTCTTCTGCATAAAATGCTGAGCCCAAATTTTCACTCCTGTGAAAATCAGTGGCCCTAGGAATGGCTTCTGATGGAATGGAGCTCCCCCTCCATCACTGGGGAGCTCATGTTGTTGGGCATACACGCACTTTCAAGTTAATGGGTTCATTTCTGAAAATCACACCTCCAAGTTGGATTTGTTTTGTTCTAAAACAATTTCCTGGATTTCTTGGTATACCATATCTCCATTATTTTCCAGTTTCAATTTTACTTTGCCGATGTGCGTGTTATCATTTAAGTTAATATCATGTTACTTAATCCTCACTGTGGTCCAACAAAGCAGCGTCTGTACAAGAGGAGATTAAATAAACTCTTTGGTTTGAAAAGGAGATGTGATGTGACAGTGTCAGATATGCAGAATAATCGTGCAGCCATATCTTCAAACCCATCTCTAAGTTTGGGCTCTCTGACTTTTCCAATGTCAGGCCTCAGGCACCTATCAATTTCCATCTGATGTCTGGGTGGCCGGTATCTCTGAATAACATTTCCTCAACACTACTCCATGTTTGGAAAAACAAACAAACAAACAAAAGCCCGATTTGAAAAAGGAAGGCCTTGTGATCACTTTGAATTACAAGTTAAAAGTATGGATAAACTTTACTTCATCCTGCATTTTTACAGGGAAGAGAACCACGTTACTGTGGATTATGGCTGATTCATGGCCATCTTATTGCACATTTTGTTATCACCTAAGAAGTCACCTTCTCAATTCCTTTCCCTCAGTTAAAACAGGAGTAATTTCTTTAAAGGCCCTATCTAAATACTGAGTAAAAAACCCCACATTTCTCATCTCTAAAAATCAGTAAGAACTACCTGGACTTTCTCAATAATGAATAATATACAGAGATAGACCTCTGAGTTATAATGGCTGTGTATTGGATATGTTTGCATAAGACAGGTCTGTTGATGCCTACAGCTCTGAATGGCACTATGTAGACTGTGCTTCAAGAAATCTCCGTCAGGCAATAAATACAGACAGATAATTTAACAAATGTTACAAAAAACCAATCTGTTCTCAAGGGAATCACATGGATATAAATCACAACATGATTTAGCATCGCACATGCCACATCATGTCATGACTAACCCCTGTAAATCACAAGAGTCAAAACATTTACAATAGCATCACTATGAGCTATAATATTTTAAGCCGCTGTTGTCTGGGGTTTTTTTTAAATAAATGAAATAGACACAGATGGGACAGAGACCAAAAGCATCTGCGCGTGCTAGTCAGGGGGAAGAAGCTAGAGCTGACAGAGCCCACAGATGCCCACTCACCTTGCCGGCTCTGCCTTTTGGCATTCAGGTGGTTGGTTGAAGACATGGCGTAGGAGGTGGAGAAGGACCTGCTCTTCGTGATTGTCATCAAAATTGAGCTGTTCCAGGAGTCGGCGCTGCAAAACAAGAGCACAAACAAGCATCGTTTGAGACAGTAAAAAGAGCCCAAGTGGCAGATTATAAGAAGTCAGGAGTCACAGCAAGAAGTTTGCGATCCTGAGCTAGCGCAAAATCTGACGAGGAGAAACAACATCTATCTGCTGGCTGAACTGCTATTTCTGTGGCGCTCAGTATTGTATTCAGCAAAAATATTTCCCATGCAGACACTCCAAAGATGGACTTCCTTCAGTGCTGAGGCCTATTCACTTTATTTATACAAAGATGTCTCCGTTATATTGTTCTGACAGCACAAAGAGGCTGAAAAGTTGACTTGAACTAAGTTAAATTTATGTTCTCTTTTAACGCCTCCTCGCAACAGCCAGAAGCACCACAAGTTCTCAGTGTAAATGAAAAATCAGCCTCCCTTGACTCCTCTGCTGTATCTGCCAAGGCAGATACCCAGTGATGCTTTGGGCAATGGAGGAGCTCCTTGGGAGGCTGGAAGAGGGTCGGAAGAGCCCCGCATTGCTGTGTTGCTAGTGGTGTGCCTCTTCTCTGGGCGAAGCTCTTCATGCTCCAGCCAACTGAAACGCGTGCTGCGTTCTCCAAAAAAAATCCTGTTGACAGACCCTGAAGACATTGGTCACTGATCCAAAAGAAACTCACTGAAAGAAAATAGGGTGCATGAGTCTGCCTGCGTGAGGAAAGAATGCTGGTCCCCTACAACAGGATGGGTGCACGCACTCAGCTTTCAGCCCTCAGGCTATAACTTCTGCCTACCAAAAGAGGCCAAACAGTTCTGTAAGGCAGGAGAATTGGATCTATCATTGTTTTCCTGAAGGACACTCATCAAACGTCAGCTGCTAGCAAGGACATTGCACTAGCTCTTATCGTGCCTTCCAACCCAAACTATTCTATGATTCTATGACTTCTCCTGGTCCTCTCGAGCTCCATATTTTTCCTCAGCCTCGCATCCAAGCCCTGAGATGACATGCAAGGCAGAAGACAGTCTTTTAAAGCAGCCTAGTCCCAGCTGAAGTTGAAAAAACTTGGGGGGGGCAGGAGGGGAAGCGTTCTGAAAGAAGAAAACACGTAACATTGCCTTAACTCTACAAACACGTTGTTTTGGAAGAGCAAGCACTACCTCCTAAATATTTGCTGGTTCTCTGTACAGGCCCAAATTCCTATAATCTGTGATGAAGCAAGATGAAGAAAGAATCCAGCTGCTTTCATAATTATTTTGTTTGTTTGTTTTGTTTTGTGGTTTTGCTTTTTAATTGTCAGGAAGAATACAACACACTGGCCCACTGCAAAGAACCAAAACAAAAACTCCCAAACCACATCCTTTGACTTTTTAAGACATAGAAGAATGGATATGGAAGTGACAGAGGGAAGGAATGTGGAAGCTCTATTATTTTCTCCCAATCATTTGAAGCTGTAACAGGACCATGTCTCACCAGTTTAGTAACACGGGATGGAAGAATACAGGATTACTAATCTTAAACAGAGATGTAAGGGGCATTTTTGCAAATAGTTGACCATGGAAATCTAGATTTGATGTCCCAGACTGCAAGGAATATGTTGCAGATTTTTTAAGTGCAGAATCTGCCACAGGGCAATTCCAGTATCATTTCCCCTCTCCCACCCTTCAAGCCATGAAATGTTCCTTTCTCTGTGACCTCTGATGTGCTTGAATTTTGTACAGGGAAAGTGGCAGATACTCAGGATTTTTATTTTTTTTCCCTTCAGTTCAAAATTCTTTTCCTTGAAAGCAAATCTGTATAGGTCTGCCAAAATTTTTAAAGCTAGACTTATAGGATTCATTTTCCCCCTTTCTGGAATACACATTGTTTCTCCTACTGTAAAAGAACTGCAAACAGTAGGCTGGGAGGCTTGACAGAGCTATAATTATACAACTGGCAACGCTAAACTTAGGAAGAATTGATTGTCTGCTTAGTTGGCTCATCGTGTAGAGTTATATAACAACCACAGAAAAGGACCAACAATAATATTTAATTGCTCTCCTTCTACCTCTGATTCTCATCTTAGAATGCTTACATACTATGTGAGAGTCTGGGATCAACAGTATAAATCAAATGCACCCTGGGAACCACAGGTTGGTGACTGAAGAACATTTCCATTTGGTTATAGCTTCTCTATATTTACTTTTACTGAGCTACACGGGACTCCTCACAAAGGGAACTTCGGCTAACCACGTACTTTTCTTGCACCAGACATTGAGTGTACTCTGCAGGCTTGCCTTGAGCACCTAGGTGCCCTGCACGAGAGCCTCCTCTATAGCAAAGATTGACCTATCTGGAAGAAAGGCTGACCAAAGCAGCCCTCTGGGGCTGCATTCACCCATGCCATCCAACAGCAAACACTGGTGATGTCACAGAATCACAGAATCTTCTAGGTTGGAAGGGGCCTTAAAGATCACCTTGTCCAACCATCAACCTAACTGACCACACAACAAACAAGGAGCACCATCACTAAACCATACCTCCCAGCACTACATCAACCCGTCTTTTGAACCCCTCCAGGGATGGTGCCTCAACCCCCTCCCTGGGCAGCCCATTCCAATGCCTGAGAACCCTTTCAGCGAAAAAATAGTTCCTAATAGCCAGTCAGAACCTCCCCTGGCGCAACTTGAGGCCATTTCCTCTCGTCCTGTCGCCTGTGACTTGAGAAAAGAGACCGATCCCCATCTCTCTACACCCTCCTTTCAGGGAGTTGGAGAGAGCAATAAGGTCTCCCCTCAGCCTCCTCTTCTCCAGGCTGAATAACCCCAGCTCCCTCAGCCTCTCCTCATAAGACTTATTCTCCAGACCCCTCACCATCTTTGTCGCCCTTCTCTGTCAGGCGTTCTCACGTCCTATCCTCTTCTCCCCTACCAGGACCAAATTTTGAATTGCAGAAAAGCATACGAATCTTCTGATATCATAAAATCATAGAATGGTTTGGGTTGGAAGGACCTTAAAGATCATGGAGTTCCAACCCCCCTGCCCTGGGCAGGGACACCTCCCACCAGACCAGGTTGCTCCAAGCCCCATCCAACCTGGCCTTGAACACTTCCAGGGATGGGGCATCCACCACTTCCTTGGGCAACCTGTTCCAGCGTCTCACCACCCTCACAGGAAAGAATTTCTTCTTTACCTCGTCTCTAAATCTCTCCTTTTCCAATGTCAAACCTTTACCCCTTGTCCTTTCACTACAGACTCTAAATCTCTCCTCTTCCAATTTCAAACCTTTACCCCTTGTCCTTTCACTACACTTCCTGACAAATGGCTCTGAATTCTCTTCTTGCATTTGGGTGCTTTTGCTCTGCTTTGCCTTTCCCCATAGCAAAGCACGTTTACATACTCTCTCCTCATCCACCAGCTCCAAGATGACAGCCCTTGCTGAGGTGGGGAGGGAACCTGAACTTTATTCTCACAGGGTGGCACTATAAGAACTGCCTTCTGCTCTTCCTTTGAAGGCTCTGCTCCTTTCTGACTGGAATAGAAAAATATCCATGGAGCCAGAGAGGAGGAAAACCTGTTGGAATAGTTATGCAACATTTCACAGATAAAAGTCTGATCTAGTCAATCATAAGGGACTACAGCCAGAAGATAAATACCTGTTTCTTCAGAACAGTGAGAACTATCGTGCTTCTAGGTAACTCTGAAAGACTTTAAGGAACATGCTTTAGGAAACTGGAACTAAATGTTGGTTTGGGCTCAAAATGGAGTAATTACCTCAGCCTACACAAACCTCTTCGTGGATATAGTGCTCTATTTCTACAATACATTATATGAACGTAACATTAAAGTGTATATGTCATGGTTGAATCCAGAACTCTCTTTTTCCAGGCAAGACAAACAAATAATGTACAATTCCTCCAGAGATTTTGCTGAAATCCATTTCAAGGCTTTATTAATTATTGTTTTGTTGACTCTTCCAGTATCAGCACCTGTTTATATAACCCTTGAAAATATGGGGCATCATCTTTGTACTTGTGACTCTTCCAGTATCAGCACCTGCTTATATAACCCTTGAAAATATGGGGCATCATAAATGAATAAGTAAATAAATATTTCATAAATAGAAGCGGGCATTCAGTCTGCACCTCAACAAAGTACCTGTGTTTATTTACTTGCGGGACATCAGGAAAAGCCTTTTAACTAGATGAGACACTTGTGATTTAGGATGGGACAGCTGGGATTCTGAATCCCAGAGGATAAACTCTGTGGTCAGTGGGAATGAAGAGGTCCACTGATGAGCTTAAAATTAGGGAAAATACAGCAACCATCCTGCAGGAAAACTTGACACTGTCCACTTGATTTTCAGCTTTGATTTCAACTTCTACGAGTAAGTCTTCCTTTGTAATTTTACTCCTCCATTATACGTGTTTTTTTTCCCAATGGTAACATATTTACTTAGATACTAAACTTCTTGAGTTATCCAACTCAATCTTTTATATTTACTCTCTATTGCTGGTATTGCATTTACACGAGTTTGTTCAGGGAGCCCTGGGTACTCATTATAATCTGGAATTAAGTGTGCACATGGAATGCAGTGCACATGTCAGTGCTGCATGGTCTTATGATACTGCATTTTGATGGAGAGAAAAGCATAAAACTGTGTATTTTAGGAAGGTCCACTTGAAATCAGGGTTTGTGTTCTGCAAATTAGTATCTAGAGAATGGAGAAGTGCTTTATGAACTGGTTTAATGACAGGACCACATCAATAGGTGGGTCCTTAGAAGTGAAGTTCAGCAGCTGGATTACCTGTTAGAATTGTTTCTTGGCTGGGTAATACCCATGAAGGAAACCACTGCATATCAATTAAGACTTTCACTGCATATCCTGCCTTGTTTCCAATTTTATTCTGCAATTCTGCACTTTGCTAGCTTAAAGAGATTTTTTTTTTTTTCATTTTGCTCCTCAATAATAGGAATAGTTTTGGCATAATCTGACTAAAAATGGGAATGTCACTTCTTTGATAACCCAATTTAGAGAAACATGAAGAAGTAGTTCTACAAACTTTGGAGTCAGCATTTTTAAGCGAGGGACATCATCACACAGAACCAAAGAAATCTGCCCAAACAGAGACACAAAAGAGAGAGGAGGTAATTTGTAACCTGGATGAAGATGATTCATGAGGTTTGATGCTGGCACTGCGATCCCTTCTTACTGGAGCTGGCTCCAGGGTAGGTAATCCTGTGGCTGATGTTGTTGTGGTCCAAGTTGAGGACACTCGTCTCAGCAGTCCTGGGGGCAAACTCCTCCGTAAGCGCTAGAGAGAAATCAGTTGCTTAGAGTTTACAAATGCTTACAAAGACTTTAAACATGCAGAAGAAAAAACACTTCCATTTGATTAATTCTGCCTGACAAAACCTAATGAGGTACCTTAAATCTGGATTCTCCCAAGTATCATGGTGCTTAGCTTCTATTCAAATCAATACAGACAGTGCTTTAAATCTTTGGAGGGTTTGGACCATCCTCCCTATTTCAAGTTTAAAAGAAGGTGTATTCCCACAGCTCTGTAGACACAGATGGAGCTTGGAGCTCCCACTGGAGTTTGCCAATGTTGGCTGTGCTCTTTAAAATTTTTAAAATTAAAATATGATGTGGCCAAAGGCACTTAAACAAGTCATCAGGGCCACAAAGAGGATGGAGGGATTGGAGCATCTGTCATAAAAGGAAAGGCAGAGAGAGCTGGGATTGCTCAGCCTGAAGAAGAGAAGGCTCAGGGGCGGTCTTATCAATGTAGAGAACTACCTGAAGGGTGGGTGTTAAGGGGAAAAACAACCCAGGTTCTTTCCTAGTGGTGTCCAGTGACAGGACAAGAGGCAATAGGGCACAATTTGAAATACAGGAAACTCCATTTATATGCACGAAAATATTTTTTACTGTGAGGATGACTGAACACTGAAAGAGGTCACCCAGAGCAGTTGTGGAGTCTGCATTCATGAAAATACTCAAAACTCAAATGGACATCCTCCTGAGCAACCACTTCTAGGGTGAGCCTAGAGAAACCTGCTCCAGGCTCAATTTCCTTGAGCTGAGGGACTGCACTAAATGATCTCCGAACTGGACTAGATCTCCAAATGTAGTTTCAACCTCAACTATTCTGTGATTTAAACTGTCATGAATGCTCAGATTCAAGGCAAAATAAGGCTGTAAGAAAAATAAGGAATGGGAGCTTCAACTTTTTTCCTGTTATATCTACCCAATCCACAGATCACTCACTGAAATAAAACTTTCATGCACTGGGGTATGATGCCTCCTGAAAAGCTTAGAGAAAGGATCGCTATTTACAGCAGATTTTCCTTGGCCACTCTGCATTTTTCTTTTACCTGACCTTCCCTTTTCTTCACTAATAGGGCTCACCGTTTTTTTTCTGAATTTTTGAGGGTAGACAGTGAAAATAAAGGATGATGACAGAGAGTCTTTGCAGATCCAGATTTGCTGTTGCAGATGCTACCATCTTCTTTGATGTTTCTCTTGTAGTTCTGATGAAGTGCTTATAGTTAAGAAACTAAAAGAAGTATGTCTCTGTGACGGAGAGCTTTGACTTTGCCAGAGGGTTAAGAGATATGAGATGGGAGACACCTGTGGTTCTGAAGCTCAAACTTATAGATAAATATGTTAACATACTCTCTCCTTACCCAAAATGCTCAGTGTGAGATGCTTAAGGTGAAAACCCTAAATCTATATTTAGACAGTTAAATAAAGGACTGCAACCTATTAGTTTTATGAACCGTAATACATTTAGGTCAGTGAATTCTTCAGTCAAATTAGTCCTCTGTAGCATTAACTCATTTCTTCATCCTTCATTTCTCTTCCCCTCACTAGGTATTACGCAACAGCAAACTGGTTTCTGTTCACTGTGTTTGCTCATGCGATGGCAGTGTTCTTCCACGTAACTTTTCCTCTCAGATCCTAGAGTACAGCCATTATAGACACGCACACTAAAATAAACTGGAAAATGTGCTTAATAACCTGTGAACATCCATTTCATATATACAGCTGCTACCTAGGCCAATGGGGTAATAATTATCATCTAACTAAAATATATTGAAAAAAGAATCACAAGTGTTGCTATTCAAATGCTGGGAAATGCTGGAATGAATGCTGGCTGTGCCATTTGCACTGTTAAAACTTAAAAGCATTCGCCTGTGCCATGTACTCTGCCTATATTTAATTTTACAAGGGAGACTGCAGGACAAAAGCATTTTGGTTTAATTTCAAAAGTGAAATGCAAGCCTTGCAGGACAGCTAATTAGCAATGAACCTGCAATTCAAACTACTTCAAAGCTCGTGTGTTCTTTCTAGTTGTTCACTTACTACATGTGGGTGTTTAACACTAGTTATTTCCTGTTGGATTCCTTGAGCATTCATAAAGCCATCTGTCAAGGCATTAATATATATATTTACATATATTTGATTCAGTCTTCTTTTTCTTCTCAAGACTATTTCTCATGAGCTCACAATATTCATCATACCAAGCATTGTGGTGATCTTTTTTGTTTGTTTGTTTGGTATACAACATTTTAAACTTGATCCAAAGCAGCTGGAGATCATCGATAGAGACTTTTAAATTGACTTCTATAGGTTTCACACCTCTAGCTAAGGGAAGTAAAAAGAGACTAAAATTTATACAAAATTTCAAATTCCAATCTTCAAAGCGGGCAAATAGGTCCCTCGTATTACTACTTAATTCCCTGCTGCTCATTGATTAGGGTAGTGACTCCACATGCAGTGGCTCAAACCTTTTGATAGGAAGGGAATTTCTGTGTGAGAAGTAATGGGGCAGACCTATGGGTCTGGACGGTGAAAGGCTTTTGCTTGCACTGCTCCCTACCTTTTCTTTTCTTTTCTTTTAAGCTCCAGCCAAGACCTGCAAGGAAATCATCTATGTGAATTATCTGGTGAAAGGCTTTTGCTTGCTCTGCTCCCTACCTTTTCTTTTCTTTTAAGCTCCAGCCAACACCTGCAAGGAAATCATCTATGTGAATTATCCTGTGTTGAACATGATCTTCTAAAGATGCCTGAATCAAAATTAAACCCGACATGGGCTGAAGGATACAAAGGAATTGTCTTACTATGGAACCATAGTCTACTTAGATGTCCTTTTATAGTAGAGTTTGATCAGTGCATAACATGTTAATCTGAAGCAAACACGCAAAAAGGCTAGTCCAGTGCTGTCCCTTTAGAGAGAACAAAGTTTCAAGATGATAGGCTGGGTCCAGTACTCACCTTGGGAATAGCCAGTTTCTCTCCTTTCTCTGGACATTCCTCTGAGTCAGAGCAGGTGTAGTTCTCACTGAAGGACACCAAAGGGTTCATCCTTGGCTTGTGGATGGCCTGAAAGGTTAACTGCGTATTAAGCAGGTTGCTCACTGTTCTCAGTGAAGTACACACATTGGGGGGCAGCGAAGGATCTGCGAGAAGGTCCGTAATGAGCCCATGTGCTTCTCCCATGACAGCTATATCCACTGTGATACTGGTACCAGAAGACTGTAGAAGACAAAAATAATACATGTAAGACAACAAAAGTGAACAACCTGCTGAGATCTATCTAAAGCTGTGGTGAACTCTCTCCACAACTTTTGTTAAAGCAGTTATCCACAGAGTGGAAAAATAATAACATGAAATAATTCTTTAAATAAGGAGAATCATGCTGAATAGATCAATCATCAGGCGTAATGCTCACAGTCCACAAAGAGTTTGGAATTTCATCATATCTGATTTCCTAGCCTTCACCATCTGCAGCTGACTTAACCCATCTGAATGAACTGTTCAGGCTCATAGTTCAGAGACATAGTTAATGGCCAGGAGCTATTTGCACAAATAATTTTTGAGACATAGCTTAGCATGGGAGGAATTTCTCTTGAGAGATGCCTTTCTACTAACTACAGAGACATCTAGAATAGCTAATGTTCAATGTTTAGGCTTAGATGAATTGAATGATATACCGTATAGATCTCAGCATATAGTGACATTTTTAAAATATCTTCACGCTATTGAAATTTAGCATTCTGGTACAGTGGCAACCACATTCTTCTCCAAGTAATTGTGTATTGGGCAGCTATACTAAAGTTGAAATGGAGTAAAAAGTGGATTTTCCAATCTTTGTTTTATTTAGACAGAAATGATGAGAATAGTTACTCTGTAGACTTGTATGACCAATTCAGATGGTCCTTTCTTCCTCTTGGGTTTGAAATATATACCTACTTTACATATATCATTTAGGAAGAATTATTAGCTAAAGTAATGTGTAAGCAAAAATAATACCAAGGACTAGGTCATATCACTGATAAATCTTACACACCCTACCCAGTAGCACTGGGCTTCCAGTGCATGCACAAGAGGGTTTATCCATAAATGAATCTTTGGGTTTCTCCAGAACTTCCTGGCATCCAGCAGCTCCAACTACCACCTGTCCCAAAACCCAGTAGGACAATACATTGCCACTGAAAGAAACAGTTGTACTTCAAACTGGGACAACAGTCTCTCACCACAAGCAGGAAAATTGTCAAGTCTGCGAACTGACAGTTGTATGACACAAATGCAAAAGACTGAGGATGTTTAAAATCTACTAGAAGAACAGCGAGACTGGATGCATGCAGAAGTAGGACAAGAAAGGCAGGAGGCATGTGAAGTTTCAATGCAGCTGTGACATTTCAGCCTCACTAACTGCTGCACTATAAATCACCATCAATTCTGCGTGGAATCACTAATTCAAGATACGCCCAAGCCGATCATTTTTCTTTTGCTGTGTTTCTAACACATCAGCTCAATCCTGCTGCTGCTGTTTGGGACTTTTCAGCAGGTGTATGCGCAGTTTGCCAGAGAGAGCTTTCCAGGAGATTTTGGACTTATTTGTTTTCAGGTATTTCTTAGAAAAATCTTAGATATGGGGTCTTCCGAATGCGCAAGCTATGCCTGTGAAAAAAGCATATGGGTTTCTTGGAGTGGCAAGTACACAGCATAGAGAACTGGGCAGACTGCTTAGCAGGAGGGTGATCAGAGCCCCGGCCAGGAGTGACTCACCAGTGACAGCATTTATGGACCTCACAACACATCAAAAACCAGCAGAACAGAGCTTGACACTGCTGCGTTCTCACGAAAGGCTTCACAAGCAAAGCATTTCTGAGGAAAGTGATATATTAGCTGAGTATGGCTAAACCTCTGTCTTCCCAGGTGAGTAAGTGTGGACGTCAGGTCCTTGCTAATGGCTGTTTCATTCCACTGATCCACTCCTTATGTCCTGCTTCTTGCCTCCACAGAGGAAAGCCACAGGACCAGAAGATATGCCTCCTCACTCACCATCCTCTCATGCCACCAGAAAACCAGCCTCTTCTTCCCACATTTCTTTTATTTGTCATGATACCAAATGAGATAAACCAGAAACCATTTGATATACTGAAGTGCTATTTCATCCTACTGAAAAAAAAAATTAATGGCTGAAGTTAATTTAATGGCTCTTTCATTGCTTAACCTCTCAGGGGTGCATGCAGAAGATTCTGGCAGATGCTGAAGAAAATTCTTAAATTAAAAGAGAAGGCTTGGGATGGGGGGAATTAATTATCTATCTTAACCTCAGCCTTGAAAGAACAGACCAAAGGGGAGTGAGGGAGAATACATCATTCACAGTGCAGTGGAAGCCTCATATTTTCAGCAAAACTGCACAATCTACAGTTTGAAATTCTATTAAGCCTGGAGCCTGGAGCTGTTGACTGCCGATCAGAGACAGAGATTAATACTTCAATGCAGTAAACAAGTCTGACTCAGCGGGCCGAAAGCAGAGGCCCAGATTTTGTACAGCAGTGCTAACATCTTGCAAAGCAGCCAGCATTGTTCTCCATGATCAGTACCAAGTGGGGAGAGGGAAAGCCCTTCTCCTCTCAACGGTGTTATTTCTGCCACACGGACTCCCAACATGTGGGGAGGCCTTGTCACACCTTGGTGACCCCTGCCTTGACTCTGGGACCCAGCAGATTTGTCCGACTCAAACACCAGCCTTTGCTGAGTTATATTGTGAGGAGCTGCTGCTGAGGCCACATGGCCCAGGAAGAGTTTGCTGTGTAGCTCTCTGTCCCTTGATGTATGGCCCAGGAAGAGTTTGCTATGTAGCTCTCTGTCCCTTGATGGTGGTGGGTCCAGAGAACTCCTTGCCCCGGTGCCGGAGCCCTGAGGCCTTCCCTTCCTCCTGAAGCCATTGGGCTGGCAGTGTCCGCCATTTGCTGTCCCTGCTGGGAGTGCATGGCTTCTACTGAGAGAATGAGCTGAGTGTAATTCCTGTATATCTTATATCAGTATTGGGATTAATACTGGTTCGTTAGTATTACTGTCAATAATTTAGTCTATTCATATTTCAACCCTTGTGTTTCTTTGTGTTCCCCGATTCCCCTTTCCGGGTGGGGAGGGGTCATCGGGTGACAGAATAATTGTCTAAACGACAATAGATTGTTATGGGTTTTCTCAAATCATAACAACAGTATTTCAAAGACATCACTATATTGTAGTAAGCTGCTTTAAACGGCACTTGTATCTATCACACAGAATTACAGTATTGTTTGAAGTACTCATATTTCTTAGAATCCTTAGAATGAGAGTGTAGATAAAAGTAGAACAGACCAAGCTTAAATTCCTCTCGAAGAAAGAAGCAGACGAGAGTAAACATTGCTCTGATCCAGTCATTTCAGCACATGAACACCACATCCTAAATTGATATGGTTTATATGTTGTAATCTAACTGCATGGAACTTGTATACAGGAAAATAGTTTCTTTTTCAAGCAGTTTGAATATTTCATCTATCTCAGGATGAATTTACAGTACTATCAGACCAGTCTCACTAGACAAAATTACAGGGATTTAAATTACTATTTTCTAAGAACAGTTTCAAATTGAATGCATGAAAACATTTAAAAAATATTTTATTCTTTAGATTCTCTTCTACAAAACAGTGGAGAACTGTGAAGAACATTACTCAGAAAGCAAACTAAAATGTGTTTCACTAAAGGACAAGGAAACCTGGAATTTTTTTATAAAATACATATGATGATGTAAAACAATATAAAGATTTATGCAAGCCAGTAAATTGCTGAAAATTAGATTGATGTAACTGTATATATGTATACAGACACGTGTATACATATACAGACACAGTCTCTTTTTAGGGTAAAAGCAAAATCCATGCTCAGACTTTGTAAGTAGTTTTTTACTAACGTGCATAGCCTCTGCATGAACTGATCTGGATTCTTTCCAAACCACTTTACTCATCGGATACTTGGGAATAGAGGCACGAATAACATGTTTGCAATCAACACTAACAAACAACTAACTTGATAAAACAAAACAAAACAACACAACCAAAGGGCTAAACTGAGGTGAATTTAATTTCACACTGGTCAGCATTCATTTACCAATCTATGCCGATAATTGTGAACACAGCTTCCTCCCATTACTTTTGGAGGAGACTGGCTTACTGTTCACTTTGTGACTTCATTCCAACTCTGATGTAAGCTATGTCATGCAGTGACTAAAACTGAAATGCTCCAGGGCACGAGAATGAGAGAGCAAACAGGCTGGAAACAAAAGCAAAGCCAGAACAACTAAACATGCTCATTGATAACTAAGGTAAGGAGCAAAATAAACTCCTTACAATGCTGAAAAAGAGGTGGTTTTGTGCTTGCTTCCCCCCCCTCCTTTTTTAAAACTGGCATCTAGGTGGGAATTTTAGGCTGTGGTACCAGTTGGAATTCCTAACTGGGACCAAACACACTTGTTTATGTTTTGGGGCTTCTTTTTATGCACAGAAATAAAAGAAAGGGCTTTCTCCTGAAGAGCTCATATGAAAAATATGATGGCCATATCATGGCAGGATGGGTGAGAGACCAGGGACAAACATGCACAGATCACAGCACCAACTCTGCAATCATCTAAGTTTGCACGGGTGGGGGCTCACTGGGAATTGGCAAGAAAACTTTCACATACCAACTGCAGGACCAAGTCACAAGTAGCGTGTCCCACTGACAATATTTCTCAGGTCAGGAAACTTCAAGGAACACTCTTAAATGTAATATGAAAACAATATTCTTGTAAATTTTAATCATCACTTAGGTTTGAATGTTTTTTTTTGGATTATCCAACATGGCTAGAAAAAAAAAGCTTTCAAAATTTGCATAACTTGCTATAGGCTTTTACATTTCACAAATTCCCATTCATTTTCTTCTATTAAATTATAGGTTTTTTTTGGATCATCCAACATGGCTAGAAAAAAAGCTTTCAAAATTTGCATAACTTGCTATAGGCTTTTAAATTACATTTCACAAATTCCCATTCATTTTCTTCTATTAAATTATATTATGCACAAAAATCTAATAATTGCTTTTACTCACTAGGAGGGAAAAGCAGATAAAGCTGTGTTGGAAAAATTAATTTAGGAAAACAGGAATAACAAATTCCTTTATCCATACGACCTGATAGATAAATTTAGTTTATGAATGTTTGC